GTAGTGGAAGTCTTGGCGGGGAATGGGTTGAGGACATGGGAGCAAAACTGAGTGGTTTAGATTTACTTCAGAATGATAGATACATTTTTATGGATAAAAATAAAACAAGGGAAGGAATAGCCTAAGGTTGACGGATATATCCGTCTACCGCCCACAAGAATACTCAAGATTATTGGCAGTGTTCATATTTTGTGATTATCACTGAGGGCGGCAGACGGATATATCCGTCCACCTTATGTTTTTTGTGGGCCAAAGACGGATATATCCGTCAAATCAAATTTTATTTTCTTCATAACTTTTGTACAAAAATTAGTTCAGCCCTAAGGAAAATCTTTTTATGATCCATGAATTATTTCAAGTGAAATAAATACAAAACACAACCACTTTAGTTTTTCATTTTTGGCAAAAAATAATTAAGCTCCAGCCCTTCATTTAATTTAGCCCTGGAAGGGTTAAATACCTATTTATTTAGGTATTTTTACCTCTTACTTGGGTGATTAAAAATGGATGTAATTAATGCCACATGATATACAAAATATACAAAATAGCTATTCAAAACACTAACGATATAATGAGCAGTAGAACGATTGCATTATTGATACAAAATCAACAGTTCAATTATTTATTATACAAATATAGTATAGTATTATCATTATGCTCAACTCAAAGTAGCCACATAACGTATGTGCTTTATGATGGGGAACAGCAAATAGTTCCTTGTGTAAGGGTTTACCACATAGGGGCCGTGCTACAGAACAAACTGATGAGAATACCACATGGTAAATAATACCCCTGCCGCTGCAAACCTGCGATCTTAGGCGAATTTCTATTGGATATTGTCTGGTTGGATTTTTACTAAAAATATTTCTTATTTATACTTGACAGATTTTCCCATTTGAATGACATTGGGTTTAACGAGCACCTTGGTTTGCTGCTATGGGGGAGGAAAAAAGTGCTTTTAAAAATGTTGATGAGTTCTACCATGGTATAAAATAAATACATTTGCCAAATTCAATCACAAACTATCCATAAACAAGCAAACTAGAACAGTTTATTTTTTCTCCCTAAGAATAACATGGGAATTAAAAATTTTCAGTTAAAAAAGTCTGTTTGGAATTTTTTTCATAATAATTTATACAACAACGCAATTGCCTACTAAATTATTTTTCTAAGCTCTAGTCTCTAACTAGACGATGGTTGTAATGACAATTTTGCAGTTTCATGTTTAGGGACCGATATATTTTTGAAAAAGAAAAAACATTTTCGGACAATGTGTAAACCGGCGGAATTTGCACGCGGGTTTACAACAAATATTCTTGTTCAAACAAAAAACAATTTTCTCATGACTCGATCTTGCTTAATCGCGAACCCAGTCCTACACACTCATGCCGAATTTCATGAAAATCAGTCCAAAATTGCTAGAGTTATCGTGCCCCCGCAAAAATACCAGTATTTAATTACACGGTGATTTTGTTTGGTTTATAATTGTCTTTCACTCATTGTGTTTAGATAAAAGGAGTAGAGTGTCTACTTCTTTTAATCTATGGTAGCACTTAGTAAAATTGTTTATTCAATTTAATATACAGGGAAAAACAAAAATATGCTTCAAGACAAGAATAGATGTGTAAAAAGAAGAAATTTGTATGTCAACATTGGCTTCCTGACTGTAGCATCGCTGTAGCATGATACCTTCTTTGCTGAACAAACTTTAATTTACTTTCAGACACATTTGAAATTCAAATTGAGATACCTTCCAATATTAAACTTGTTTCGATACAGTTCCGAATAATATTATGTAATATAAAGGCATAAAGGCTAAAGTTAAACATCGAGGTTAACACACCTAAGTCTTTCTTCAGTTTTATGAGTCATTAACGGATTGGGCTACTTGTGTCATAATGGAAACAAGTAATCCACTGACTACTTATGAGATTAAATACGGACATAATAGATTATATAGACTGTTATATATTCGAACTTCTCATTCGCGAAAATAATTGTTGTCCAGAATATATATTTAAATATGGGTAGAATGCTTGTACTATTTTACAACTTTATGCAGATAGAATAGAGCATTATACAAATATGTTTTATTTTGCAATGTTAATATGTCCGGGAAATTACCTGAAAGGTACATTCCCCATTATGAGACAGTACTACGTGCCTACAGTGTCGTAATATCCGTGTGGTTATTACAGGAAAACGTTGTTGACATGTTAAGTAATTCAATCTTAATTGATGTACAAAACTAATTATCAAAGCTAAATAGAATCAAATACCACGCGAGGTTACATGCTGTGAACTGTGTGTCTGATGATAATGTTTTGAATTCCACGTCAATTGTTTGATTCGAATTAGCTAAAACGTCATATTTCATTTAAAGTAATTAGTGTTAGTAAATGCAGGACATAAACTAAAGTGCAGCCTTTCGAAGCTTGCAGAACATTTTAAAAGACCAAATCGTTTAAAAAGCTTTTTAAATAAAAAATTCACATAATGCAGTAGGTCTATGTATGTATAGGTACCTACTGTAACGAAGAAATGTTAAGGAATGACAAATAACTCACTAAAGCTTCAGGTGTGCATCAAGATGTGATGTTAAAGATGTCCTAAATCCCACTTTAGTTTACGTATTGTAGCAAGCCAATGTTTAGTAATGATGACACATGTTTGATGTTTGTTTTGCCTACACCGTTGTCTTAGTCAGCTGTTTAGCGAGCATGTGTCACCTGGTTTACACTAACAACACCTCTGAGTTTGAGCTTAATACCTACGACTTGGAAAATCACGCTTTCTAAAATACCAATAAATTCCAATATTTCAATTTGAATTTATTTGTAAAAACTGCGTAGTGCTATTGTTTCTGAGTACAAATAACACTTGTGTTACAAAGATTTATAATTTCACCATCGTTCTTGTCAAACAATCGCAAATTTGGTGAATTAGTCCGATATGTGGATTATTATCATTCACAGATATTCCAGACCTATGTAGATAATTTATCCGAATGATACTGCAAGTGTTGGTTCGTTGGTTGGCACAGACAATTATTTTCTCGTAAACAGAATATGCATACATATGACTTTTAATTAGGAGTTTACAGACATCCTCGAGCAGTTCTTGACTACCACAATTTTGTACTCATACAGAAATGAATTTGAATAATGTTAACAAACGAAAACTACGCGACTCGTACCGGTAACCTAATTTACCTCAGAAAGTTCCGTTCCGAGGTTATCCACACGATAACCTCCCGTTGACCTTTATCTCCAGATTACTAACAATACTTACTCACTTTTTCCAAAATCCGCTCGAAGATCAAATCAATATCCACCAGGTGAGAGGTTTAATCACAACACAGCACTGATTTGCACCACAAATTACAAGAAAAACACACAACTGCACATGCGCACTACGAAAACACCTCGGCGCGATTGCGATTGTATTACTCACCTGACGACCTGAGCGGAGCCACGATGGCACACGAGGTTGGCCGAACATTCCCGAAGGTAGCCGAGCCACGCCGACTGGTTCGGGGGAATTCGCAAACAGAATGCGGTAATGTTGGTAATTAAATTGAACCATAATTGAATTTAAAACGTGAAACCGGCGTTACTATTTTGCTACCGATCCCGTTGAGTAACCAAATTTGTAGTATTTACATTGTAATATGTATTATTTTAAATTTGCTTTATCTAGACACAAATTGAATGTATTATGACTACGAATAGGCATAATAATGACATGAGTACAGAGAATAATTATTGTAATATTAGATATGAGGTAGGCCTAATGCTGTCTCTTAAATACAACTTTTGTATCGTGCATTCCTTAAATACAACTCTTAGATGTTCATGTCCTTAAGGGTTAGTTCATCGAAAAACTAATATTTCTTTCGGGGAAGTGTATCATCAAGGTCTTTCATTAAGGTTTGCAGATGATGAGAGCGTGGCTTACGGTTTTCTCAAAGCTTCGTATTCCTTGTTAGCTTTATAGACACCATAGAATGAAGAGCACGCTGTACTGTGTACCGTACTGTACTCAGATCAAGATACTAAGAAGGAGCGTAACCGGACTCGTCAATACACATTTGACAAGTCGGGCAGTTCACACCACATAAAGTCGATCGCATCCACTTTCCGAATCCTCACCATATGCATGTGTATGTGTAAGTGTGCCGGTCGTGGAATGTCCAAGACCAAGAACGGGGTTGAGAGTGGGGCACGTGGAACTTGGAAAGGTGGAACCGGTCCATGATGGCGGCCAGGACCTCATGGCCTACAACTCCACACTCTCCTACACTCTACCACTCTACACACTACACTACAACCACAACCAAACTGCCTCTGGCAGGACTACAATATCTGCACGTACTGGAACCTGGAACTGGAGTGACATCTAGATCTACCAAACATTCTACGAAAACGAACTAGTCATGAGTTTCAGACTTAAAGATTGAATTTATTTGAATTAAGCGACTTTTTTATTTTTTAAATCATCGGCACCAAAAGCCACTCACTGAAGGCGTTTCGAATGCTGTTGTGTCAAGTAAAAAATCACCACACTACAAATAACTAAACAACTACACTGGGTGATCGCGGATGCTGCTGCGATCTCGGAAGATCATTGCGATTTCGTCTAATCGTATCAATTGCTTTTCCAATCAAACAGACGACACTAACGCCTAACCCGAAGTTTTCGGGTTAGCGTTGTTTCTTTTCTTAACTGACCATTAACTTAATGTTTCGTATTCGTGTTTGTGTAATGTTTAAATGTTCTTTTATTTTTTCGTGTTAAACAATGTGACGCTCTTCGTATGAAGATAGAAATCTTCCTTGTACAACCTGATGATGGAGCCTTTAAGGAGCCGAAACTAGTTGTGTTACAACAACATTTGGATTGCCTAAATAGCGGATATTTGAACCTTTTTACTACCGAATTAGTCTAAAACTATATCATGCCTTATTCATTATACTGCATTCGAGACAATGTTTTCTTACCAAGGCGGTTGCCGGTCCGACGTCGTACTCGAAGACATACTGTCCTTGATTGTATTGCCTGAAACAGGATATAAAACATGAGTCTCCAGAAGAAACACACTATAGTGTGAAACATCTTTTAGTTTACTTTCAACATCGATAACCAATCGATCTACTCTTCAAAGAATATTATTGACTGAACACCATTCCTATAGGTATGCCTAGGTAACATTACTGGCTATCGCTATGTAAGTGAAATGATATTAGGTTGTGTAAATTGTTTCTATGCCCTCTCTCACTTTTTATTCAGAGGTATTGGATTTGTACATTGGTTAAACTGCAAATCCATCAGGTAAACCCTAACACACCTTAAGTAAGATCTGGATTTATAGAAAAAGAGCGAACCCCATGAAATAATAATTAAGCTGCAATACAAATGTTATGTGTAACTTATGATGGCACTTTATACAATTTTGACGAGAACAATACATTTTCCATATACTAAGGTATAGGGGGAGAAAGTAAAAAGAAATTTACGCAGTAGGCTATTAAAAATGAAGAATAGAGGAAATAAAATAATTGCGCCCGATAGTTACCAACAAGTGAATACTTATAGATGTTTATTATTATCCAGCTACTAGGAGAACAGGAATTGTGGATATTTATATAGATACACTGTGGATGCAATACTCCCTGGTGTGAATTAACGTCCGCACGAGTGAGTGCTACGACTATCTGCAGTACAGTATATAGTCAATGGCACTATCCTGATAATTAGACCAATTCGTATAAGGCAAAAACGTGGTTCCGATTCCACTATAAACGGTAGGTCCCTTAGTTAAGTTGCCATTAACTGTAGCTGTATGGGCTATTAATTAACAGTTGTGTCTAAGGAATATGTCGGCCTTAGTCACTAACAAGACTAAAGATCGCGCCACTCATACACTCATCTCCAATGGTATGGTCACCATTTCATTGAAAAGTATAAAGTATTATTATCAAGAATAAAATGCAATCCCTAATATTCACTTTGCAAGTAGGTATAAGCTACAAGGAAAAGACACTGCGTCTAAATAAATTTGAGATCCATCTCATCTGTTTATCTCAATCCGAGATCGCAGCCATTTGAAACCAATTATCTCAAGAGATGCGGAACCCCTTGTCGGCGTATTGGCGCAATTTTCCAACCAATGCTCCATTGATGACATTGCCACTAATGCTGAATGAATTTACAAATAAAAAAAAACACTGAGATATATCTCAAGAAGGATATATATTATATATTATATATTATATTGCGAAAATTCAGATTTCTTACTGTTGTTCGTTAAAAAAGTAAAGACGAAATCGTAAATTTTAAATTAATAATCCGCTGAAGTAAACTATAAATTGACTATAAATATTATGGCAGAATTTACGCCGTCAAATAATAGAAATTTGAATAACAAAATAAAACAAATCTCCCGAATTTTATCAAAACAATCTATATATATAAAAGGCAAAGCCCTCACTGACTCACTGACTGACTCACTCACTCATCACTAATTCTCTTACTTCCCATTTACCTAGGATGCTGAAATTTGGTACACTGATTCTTTAGGCATTAAATAGGAAAACTAAGCTGTTTTTATTCTGATCGGACTCTCGGGCTCCGCTGTGGAGTTTCCCATGTTAACCTTATGAGTACTCATATTTAAATGGAATTAATGAATCTTAACAGCTGTTTCAATTAAACAAGTTGGTTCTGTTCTATGATGTTCAATAGCATTTAAGTTACAAGGATTACCAACAGGGTGCAGCACTATTATTTCTTTCACATTTATGACAACGGCTAATTTGCAACCAAAAGGTGAGTGAGCGTAGCGAACGAACTTCAACGTGGAGGCGAGTTAGCGTAGCGAACAAGCTAACCTGAAGGCAAGTGAGCGCAGCGAACGAGCTCCAATCTAAAAGTGAGTGAGCGTAGCGAACGAACTTCAACCAGGACGTGATTGAGCCATGCGACCGAGCTCACTTATGAAGTTAAACGGGGCAAAGCCCGCGGGTACAGCTAGTATTTAGATAAACAAGGAAACTACAACTGCAGTTTATTTATTAAATCCCATGTTAATGGCCTATGGATTTACTATAAATATTACTTTTTAGCGAATTTCCCCTATAGGGAATAAGCTATTACCGTAGTACTCTTGGTAAGACCTGGACCCGGGACCGATTTACTTTTTCGTTTTGAGGTCCATAGAGACCAAAAACACCATCCGTTCAAATTCATATATTTTATGAACAGGGGTTTATGGGGGGTTTTAGGGGAAAAATTGGGTTTTCCCATTTTTACCCTAAAAACTTAAAATTTAGCATTTTCTTTCCAAACCATTTTGTAGAGCTTAAAAAAACAAATATAATTTAGTATATTGAAGCGTTATTATGCAGCTAGAAAATTCCAAATAACTGTAATTTAAAATTCCCATGTTATTCTCATGGATAATAGGTAAACTGTTGTAGTTTGCTTGTTTATGGTAATATTTTGATCAAATTTGGAAAATGCATTCATTTCATACTAAACTATTAACATTTTACAAAAAAACACCTTTGTATCCTCCCTGTTGCAGCAAACCTAATGTTAAACTAATGTTATTTAAATATGGAATAGATGTGATATTTTTAAGGAGACATTTTAGTGTAAATCCTATGAGGCAAATGGAAAATTGCTTAGTCTGCACTCTGCAGGTTTTCTGCGGCGGGGTTTTTTATAAATAGACCTATCTATATATATAAAAGGCAAAGCCCTCACTGACTGACTCACTCACTCACTCACTCATCACTAATTCTCCCACTTCCCATTTACCTAGGAGGCTGAAATTTGGTACACTGATTCTTTAGGCATTAAATAGGAAAACTAAGTTGTTTTTATTCTGATCGGACTCTCGGGCTCCGCCCCAGTGGCTCTGGAATTTCCCATGTTAACCTTATGAGTACTCATATTTAAATGGAATTAATGAATCTTAACAGCTGTTTCAATTAAACAAGTTGGTTCTGTTCTATGATGTTCAATAGCATTAAAGTTACAAGGATTACCAACAGGGTGCAGCACTATTTTTTTTTTTTAATTTATGACAACAGCTAATTTGAAACCAAAAGGTGAGTGAGCGTAGCGAACAAACTTCAACCTGGAGGCGAGTTAGCATAGAGAACAAGCTAACCTGAAGGCAAGTGAGCGCAGCGAACGAGCTCTAACCTAAAGCTAAAGGTGAGTGAGCGGGAACTTCAACCAGGACGTGATTGAGCCATGCGAACGAGCTCACTTATGAAGTAAAACGGGGCAAAGCCCTCGGGTGCAGCTAGTATTTTATAAAATATTTTTTATATTATAAATTACTAAAAATATTATGGTGCAATTTATCTTGTTAAGTAATCCAAATTTGAATTACAAAATAGTTTGGGAAGAAATTAAAAATTTTATATTCTGATAGTCAAATAATGGGAATCTCAAGTTTTACCTCAGAAAGCCCCCGTCCCCAAATTTCAATCATGCCTTTTAAAACCCAGGTTTACTTGTTTGTATAGAATTCAGTAATAAGACACCGTTTTTTTAATAGTTATAGTGAAAACACAAACATTACAAATAACCTAATATGTCAAACAGCTCATCATTGATAATTCAAAAGGTAAAGCAATTCCAAGCAACTTACAATTTATTTTAATCTCTGTCCTTATCGATTTCGGTTTTTGAGTTACAAACAAAGATTATGTTTTATCCAGAGAAAACAAGAACCTGTAATCTATTTTAGGATATAGCCAAAACAAAAAGGTTTTTGCTACTTTACTACTTCTCTTGGTGGAGTGTGAACATTTTGTTTTACACTATGCATTAAATTGTCTGCAAATAAACTTTACAGTCAATGAAATTTAGTTTTCACATAATGTTAAACCCCTTGATAATGATTTCGTATTATCATACAACCACATTTTTGATTTTTCAAAGCTGTCTGAAAGCTGAAATGCTGAAAATTTTATGTAGAAACCTGCGCACTCTATCGATCGCTCGGAGAGTTGCAGTTTGCGTTTGTGTACTTCTAGCGCTATTGTGATCGGCGCGGCGGTATGTGGAATCACTCGCCGTGACTATGTTGATGATGATTCATTCTGCAGAAACTGATTAGTGATACGTGTTTTGTTCTTTTCGGTGTTGTGTCAATGCAGTTTTAGTGTTTTAATACAAAAACAATATATTATTAAGTGTTCTCCAGAGTACTGTATAATTCGAATGTGGTTTTCACCTTCACTGTGAAGTTTTCAGGACGCTTTCAGTTCCTCCTCCCTCAAAAGTAGGGTTAGAGAAAATCGCTGTCAGTTAGTTTCGTTTTCAAAATGGCTGCAATTAGAAAGAAATTGGTTATTGTAGGTGATGGTGCTTGTGGTAAGACTTGTTTACTAATAGTGTTCAGTAAAGACCAATTTCCTGAAGTGTATGTTCCTACAGTTTTCGAAAACTACGTAGCTGACATTGAAGTAGACAACAGGCAAGTGGAACTGGCTCTATGGGATACTGCTGGTCAGGAGGATTATGATCGGCTCCGCCCTTTGTCATATCCTGATACTGATGTTATTTTGATGAGTTTCTCCATCGATTCCCCAGATTCACTGGAGAACATCCCAGAAAAATGGACCCCAGAGGTAAAACACTTTTGTCCTAATGTACCCATAATTTTGGTTGGTAATAAGAAAGATTTGCGAAACGATCCGAACACCATTAAAGAACTAGCCAAAATGAAACAAGAACCTGTGAAGCCTGAGGAGGGACGTGCCATGGCTGACAAAATAAATGCTTACGCTTATCTCGAGTGTTCGGCCAAGAGCAAGGAAGGCGTACGACAAGTATTCGAAACTGCAACAAGGGCGGCATTACAACAGAAGAAAAAGAAGAGGAAGGGAAAATGTAGGATCTTTTAAGACTGTAACTTATAGCCTATAGGCTAGAAACTTTCTCACGAAGTGTAGGTTGGTAAAACCCCGAAAACCTGTAAAGTTTTACAACCTAGCCTATTTGTCTAAGTACTTACAGAAACCGTAAGTTAGCTTAGGCCTTTTTTGAAATGAAACTATTCTTTATAAATCCAAACAAATGCTTATTCATTAGATCAGACTCGGAATTGTCTACCTTATTGATAACAACTGCCATGATATGCTTGGTAATTATTGCAATTAGGGTGACCTTTCAATCGTTCATGTTTGTGTTAGTCAATTCAAAGTAAAGATGGTGACAGAGACCAGCAGACAAGAGGCATTACAGTAACTTAATAAAATCCAAACGATCGTATTTTATTCAGTTTTTGTGACTGCAGAAAAATCTTTGCACCATTGTTTTCAGGTAAAAATCTAGTTTCTAATGATAGCCTATAGCCTATAAATTACTACAGTACGCTTGGTCACCCTAGTCCCAATAATTTCCTTAGATCAGACTCGGAATTGTCTACCTTATTGATAACAACTGCCATAAGATATCTATGCTTTTATAGGCTAGTCATAAATCTTATCGTTCGCTCCAATAACTTGTTTACTGATTTATTAAGTTTTAAAAAAACTGACGTGTGCCGGTGGTACACGCAGTGGCCCCCAAAACTCCGACGTGCCCCACCAGTGGGCACTGTTCCTACGGTAATTGTACGCAACAAAACGACATTTCGTGTCTTTGTGAGTGTTTTTACTATGCATTCGTGTTTGTAGAAGCCACTTGAAATGTGTCCATGGGTGGTAACCTACATGAACAACCGAATTCAAGTTAGCCTACATTAATAATCAAACACCAAGTTAAAAAAAATGTGTTTTTATTTTAACTTGTTTCAACAACAAAAACTAACTGCCTAGTTTTAAATTTTAAAAATTGAACTAAAAAGTCATTTTTACTGCTCAAAGTCTGTTTGTAAGTTCATAGCATGTAACTTATTTTCAACGGGTTGATAAATGCTTTAATTAGCATAATTTTATTAGGCCTCTCTCATTTTGTTACTGAAACTGTGCAAGGAGGCCTAGGCTCAGTGTTCAGATGATAAATAATTTTAATTATATAGGCTATCTAGAAATATTCCTATAAACACACTTGTATTTTATGAAAATTATTGTATTTCGTACACAAATTTACTTTTGACTTTAATTTTTATTGGTACGCCACTCGTGGCCACCTGAAAGCGAACATGTTAAGTAGGTAGGTACCGTACAACTTAATCTCAGCATTATTAGTTTTTTTGTGGAATGTGGAATTCTGGATTAAATCTTATCAACGATTTTGAAAACCGTTAAGAGGCTGAAGTTCGATTGTTATAGTTAAGCGATGTAAAAACTTTGAGTTTACAGACATGGACGTTCAAAGACTTAAGTCAAACGATTTAGACTTATGTTTAACCTAAATTACACCACTGCTATAATAAATACAGTATTGTGGATAAATACAGTATTGCGGATGCCTATGTTTAGGCTACTTATTGTTGTTTATTTTACATAAGTAACAGAATTTTATTTCTACATCTAACTGTTCTGTGTTCTCGTATTTTATTTTTCACATTCTGAACCAATGTTTTTGTTGTTAACTTTGTTTAGCCTAAACAGTACCTACAAAAAATATATTCCTACTTCCTTACATTTATTCCATACCTACGGTAGCCTACTAAAAACTTAGGCCTATGTCCATGGCTCCATAGTACCTAAATTCTGTACCCTGTATGGACAAAAAACGGTTTATCTTGCTTCTACAGTTACCCTTCATTACGTAGAAATAGCTTGAAGTCGAATTAAGGTTTAGCGTTTAAAAGTCCAGTTCTACCTAACATGATATACATACACCTCTGTATCTTGAATTTTTTGTTAAACCTTTTGGTAAATCGAACTTTGCTTAGTACTAGGAGAAAAACTCAATAGGCTAACTTGAATTCTTGCCATTCAGCCCCCTCAGTTAAGAGATATTGAGGTTCTACTGTGAGTCTAATCTGTCCTATTAAGTTGACCGAGTCTATTAAACCTAGTTTTTGTTGTTTAAATATTGATTTGTTACTAGTAGTTTATCATTTAACTTTTTACTCTTCTCATACTTCTCCATACAACTTAGACTCATCTAAACTCTCCATGTGGATGGATTCCTAAACTTAACTAGTTTTTGAACTCATTGAGTTGTTCCCAACAAAAACAACCAATAAACTAACATGGTATTTTAGATTCAGCTTGCAAAAAACTCAAGGAAAACACTTAGGTAAAAAACCGAAACTGTCTTGTTCCTTTCAATTTAACTTTCAAAACATCTCTTGTTTTGTACCAACAGAGAAGTTCATGCATTTTACAAATTACCACAGTTTTATGGATATATATTTCCATCGCCTCATTGATACAAAAATTGCAAATCCACCAAAAGGTAAAATTTATTTTTTCAAATCTAGCTGGGATCATGGAATACGCCTTTCAACTAATTAACAATACAGTAATACGTTGGTAAGCTTGAATCTAAAAAGAAAACAAGCCATATGGTTTTCGAGGAGTGATGTACACTTATTTTCTGGGAAACAGGCAAACTTGGCAGTCAATTATTTTGTAAACTAAATCAAATCCAAACCTTTGGCCTAATTTTTTGCTCAATGTAAAAATTGCCTACACTTATAGTTTACGATGAGCAATATTTATTTTTTCTATATTTTTATATGTGAATATTTTTGTTGTATATTAACAAAAGTTTATTATTTTCTCGAGCGCATATTTAGCACTTTATTTTAACTGTAGGCCTATTAGTTTTTTTGTAATTAGGCTACCATATTTATGTATTAACCTAACTGTAGAAATATGTATTTATTATAGCCCTATGTGATTATTGCACAAACGATGGATAGAGATGGATATTTAAAACCCAAGGAATGAATCATGCTGCATTTTAGAAGTGTTGATTTAAAGGATTTTTAAATCATTGAAGATGTATATGAATATTTGTTATAATATAAATTTTACATATTACATAGTTTATTTATTTTAAAAACCTTCTCATCAAATCTTATTTGATTATAGAATCAGTTTTGCCCATATAACGATTCAAAATTAAAGAGTATAGCCTAATATCAAAATTAGTCTTTAGCAGAAGAACAGATTTTGAATAATTATACAAAACCTCGGATAAAACAATGGTCGTGTCATCTATTTGATTTTTGTATAAGACTAATGGAAACTGTGATAAGATAGGCCTACCTATAAAATTTTGTAAAAAAAGTCTTCTAACACTATAATTATACAGTTTTATACGCTATAGTTACCTTCACCTACAATGAGTGATTCATAAGTTACACGCTATCACTTTAGTTCAGATGATTCAGTTTCATGGTATTTCTGATTGTGCAGTGGATTTCTAACTACCGTACCTGATGTTATCAACATCTTATCTGACTTACGGTACTGTGTTATTTGACGATTTGTCTGATAACCCAAAAACTGCACCATTTTTTTGCGTTTCCTCAACTAGGTGAATTATAGAAAAAAGTTACAAACCTCCTATTTTGTCATAAACTATAGTTTGTTAATAAAATTTAGGCAGTTTGAGGGGAAGTTTCCCCGCTACTTATGTTTCTTATTATATATGTTGCAGTTAATTGACATCCAGCTGTTGAGCTATTACTTTGGTAAGATCAAGTGGAGGGGGTAAATTTCTTCCCCTAAAACCGCCTAAATTTTGTTAATGGTGTAAAACTTTCAACTTTATTTGACTCACTATTGTTTCTGAGTTCTTTAGCCTTAGACAATAGGTTCGTAATAAGTAATTAAAGACACTTTACAGTCAAAAAGGTTTTTTTAGCCAATTTCCCTTATAGGGAATAAGCAAGCTATTACCGTAGTACTCATGGTAAGACCTAGACCCAGGACGGATTTATTTATTTTTTGTTGGTGTTTTTGGCCTCTAGGGACCTCAAAACAAAAAAGTAAATTGGTCCTGGGTCCAGGTCTTACCATGAGTACTAAGATAATAGCTTATTCCCTATACGGGAAATTCGCTAAAAGGAAATTTACATGGTGTTGTGTTTTAAAAACAGATGGGCACTAACCGGACAAAATTTTTACTTTTATGCAAAGGCCAGATAAGAGTAGCCTACTGTTTACTATTTCTTGGGCATACTAGACAATGTTTTCAGACAAAGAGTGTGTCATACTGACTTTTTTTTATAACCAAACTTACACAGAGGTTTTTGGTTCAAGTACATGCTCAAGAATTAGGAGGAGAGGCTAGAGTTATCACATTTGCTCCTAAAAGGTTTTAAAATGTTTTACTCAGCTTTAAACTAAAGTATTAAATGAATCCTATGATTTATTCTTATAACACACCTACTGATCTCAAAAAGAAATGCTAGCCTTTTTGGGGCAAAACTGTTAAAGGTCCTTTGTTAGTATAAATATTATGGACTATAATGCCTAATCAAATGATCAATGTACAATACAGGTCTTACTCCATAATCTTGCTATCAACATTACTGGAAACATCTAGTAAGTTCTGTCAACTATCCAATGACTCATGTGAAGGGATGGGCATTTGACTTGTTTGATTCTTTTTATAGATTGACATTTTGGTATAGTAAAAATTAGCCCAGTAGTATAAAGTGTAAGAAACAGTGGGACTCCTGTAAGTGTTTTGCTGATCCTGTTTTTTTTAGAATGGTTAGTGTTGCTGAAATTGCCATTTGATATACATGGCTTATAGACACTCCGTACTACACAGTGAATGTGGAAGTGAATGTTGGGCACAAATTTGGTTAGGTTAGGGTATCTTTAATGTCTCACCTCGTATAAGTGAGCGATAACTTGAGTGTGTGACGAGCCTTCGAGAGTGGTGCCGTTCACCTCCAAGATCTCGTCGGCCACCTCTAGTTCTGCTCTGTCTGCGGGCGATCCTGCAAAACCACCACAGTTTAGAAGCGACCAGCCGATATGTCGCTCAAACTTAAAATTCACACATGAGCGCCACCTGGATCAGTTCGATGAGGCAGGAGAGGGGATGAGAACCTAAGAGCCGATCAAGGGCTTGGGATGAGTGTGCTTCAGGAGCTGAGGAGGGTACATGGGACAACACTTTTGATAAGTAGTAAGTTAAAATATAGTTAAACAAGTCATAGTTCAACAGGCTACAAGCACTCCCTTATTTAATATTTTTTTAAACTCAATTTTTTCAGATATTTCATCAAAATAAAGAACAAAATACAGTGGATAGGGTAAAGTTTGAGCAAGAGACTTAGGAAACCCTTTGAGCCACTATAAATTGATTAATTTAATTAAGTATATCATAATTTATCTTGTGAACAAAAGTAACTCATTTTGAAAACAAGTTTTTAAATGACACACAGAAAAGGAATTGTAAGTATGTAAGTGGTGGAAAAATATCTCATTTGAGGTGGAAATCACAAATCTATTAGCCATCCAACGTTTATTTTAGGTGCGCCAGATTCACAAAGCTCTTCTAGATATGGGTGAACTCCTCATAAGATACACGTTAATCTGTGAGTCATGAGAAAAAATTATAACCCTCCCACTAGTGAATATCAACTGGCTAAGAGACAACCCCTTTCTTTCTCCTATGTTAGGTACTTGCCTGGGATTGTTTTTCACATTACTTCAGGCTGGACCCAGGGGTTGCGGCATTATCGCTTGTCCATTGGTGATTTGGACAATTTTTTAACACCCAGTATAGAAAATTGGGAACTAAAAGTTAAGAATTGTTTCCCACACATTAACTACCAAACCCATCCAAAACCCACCTACGGTCACATTAACCCACTCAATGTGTCCGGATTGTTCCGGACACATTGAGTGGGTTAAATTAAAGTAGCGTTGAGTGAAGAGGTCCTATGTATTGTATGAATAAACATAATGTTTGATACTGAAATTTAACTACAGTATAGAAAATTGAGAACACAAAAGCAACAGTCCAAACACAGTTAGTGAGTGGGTGTCTAATTAAAGTGGCGTTGAGTGAAGAGGTATTGTGAGGCGGAAGAATAAACGAGTCGCAGATGAAGAGTCCATTACTCCATGGCCTGTCTTCGGGCTAACTCCTCTATGACTGACCTTTGTCCTTTGAAAGCGCTTTTTTGACCATTCGATTTTAAACATTGTTTTTAATCAGGAATATGAGAAAAGAAACGCAATGTTCGCATTCTCATACTAGCGGTTGAAAGATTTATTTATCGCACGGTAAACTGGTACACCATTTTTACAATATGAACATAGTGACTACATGACAGTTATAGAATACCCCCGCCGCAGAAAACCTGCAATTTCCATTTGCCTGATTTGATTTTCAATTAAATCCATTTTAATAACATTAAGTTTAACGAGCACCCAGGTTTGCTGCTGCAAGGAATGAAATAAAGTGTGTCTTATAGAAAATATGAATGGCTTGGTATAAAATAAATAAATCAATTTGCCAAGTTTAATCAAATTATATCCATAAACAAGCATACCAACAACAATTTACTTATTCTCCATATTAATGAGATGGGAATTTTAAATATTTACAATTTTTTAATTTTATCCGTAACAAGTCCGAACAAAAACGCTGATACTAAATTATTTGTTTAAGCTCTTTAAAATGGTTTAGAGAGAAATCGGGAAATTTTATATTTGAGGGTAAAAAATTATAAAAACATATTTTTACCCCATAAAACCACAATCCTATGGTCCGAGCACGCTGGTTTGTGAACTCGTTTGAATAAAGGTAGGTTTTCATGTTTGTACCAAATTTCATCGAAATCGGATAATTTTTCCTCGAGTTATCGTGCTAACGGACTCACATATACGAATTTGAACGGATGGTGTTCTTGGCCACTTGTGACATCAAAACAAAAAAGTAGATCAGTCCCGTCCCGGGTCCAGGTCTTACCATGAGACCTACAGTAATAGCTTATTCCCTATATGGGAAATTCGCTAATATTTGAAAAAGAAGAACAGAAACGCAACAACATTAAACCCTTTGCTAATATGATATAGTAGAAGCATACTAAAATTGATAAATCTTGTTTGACAAGATTATAGATTGTAAGATTGTACTGTAAGTTCAGTTTTGTCTGCAAAGATATTGTGCTGAAGGCATATTTTACAATGTATTGTGGGAGTCAACATTTTGCTTGCAGAGCAGTTGTTTTCAAATTGAAAATAATGTTAAAATGCATATTGAATTCTTTAAATAAATACCTTTTTAGTTGATTAGCCTAAAACTAATATCAAAGAGTTATCACAATTTGAAAAGAAGAATACAAAAATTTCAGTTTCATCTGAGATAAAACATACTCCCCTATGGTTTCATCTGAGATGACAGCTTTGTTATTGACTAAGATCACCTGGTTCTCTCATAGAGATGAATAGAATGCAGTCACCACTGGTGTTTAAAAAGCATGCCACTGCCACCATTTTTGCTGTTTTTTCTGTTTTTCGTGTTGTTATGTTATGTTGACCATATTTTTGGCTGGTAGGAATGCTGTCAAATTCAATTCATTCCAACCATGCTATTTAATTGGGGTTACTTGATGGACATTTATCAACAACTATATTGCACATTAAAACCAGTGTGAATTTTGAAACATTATCAATTTGTTTTTAATACTAAATACTAACTTATTTTCCTATTGTCAAGTCGATGTATTTGTATAACAATGTCGACATATTTGTTTACTATCAACAACATGATGACACCATCTTGCCTCTAATTTGAAAAGTTTAACCAAAGGAGACAGTGTGACCAACAAAACAAGGTAACAAGCGGCCATCTTGATGGCACGCTTTTTTTCTACCAGGAACCAGAGAGTAGAGTAGTGACTCCAGTCACAGAAAACGTACTATTAAGCCAAAGGTTATAGTAGGCTAGTATGTTTTCTGTGCTCCAGTTCAGTTATAATCTATTCATTGATTCATCTCTATGGTTTCTTTACTCAGGACCATTATTATTTATCAAAAGCCTACTGACTAATGACAAAAGACAGCTGGGGCCATCCACCTTAAAGTTAACCTCAATTCATGCTACTACTACTATTTTTTTTACTTTCTGTGAAATTTAGTCATGTCAAGAAATGAATCTATAGAATTGGAAACACTTGCAGAAAAGGAATTTATAATGGAAGCTGAAAAATCGGAATTTTTGTCAAAAAACGGTCTTGGGAGCAAGCCACTTTTAAGAGTAAATAAACAGTTTTTAACCAACATGTTAACAAACAACGAAATGAGCAACTCTAGAAAAAACCGTAAAATTGAGGCATTAAGAAATAAGGCTCGAAATAGTTCCAAATTTGATCATGCAGATGAAGAAAAATTTTGTGACCAGGCCTGAAGTAAAGGTTCCTTTTGGGACTTGACACCACAGAAAGGTATTTATATTAATATTAGTGAACATCATTTGATACCTAACTTCTTTTAAGTCAATAAATGTCCAAATCAGCTTCTGTAACTATGTCAAAATTTTCTGTAAACTGAAGAATAAAAGTAATAAATTTGATGATTAACTTATATGGTCTTTATTATATTATGTATAGCATTTTCATGTCCCCATGGTTCCTGTATAGACAAATCATTAAATTATCTGTTTTAATTTTAAAGGGCATATTTTTTTACAACTTGTAATTGGGTAGATTATGCTATTTGTTTCGTTTTAGCTGTTTCTATTAGTTTAAATTTGTAATTTTACACAAAATATTTAAATTTTTACTAAAAGTTAAAGTCCATACAGGCTGGCGGCCATCTTGGATTAATGTCAAACAGTCCTGAAGAGTGTTATTTACCATATAAAATTATTTTTGTCAAAAGTGATTGTAATTCAAATAGGGTGGTCATTTGAAAACTTTCCATATCTGTTGTGTGCAAAGGTAAGGCTTTTAACACTTGTTTGTTTTCATTTCCCCCTAATTTGTACCTGCCAAATCCAATAAAATTATTTTCAATTTTGAAAAATGCCCCAAAAGGGCCCAATTTGAGATACCCAAGGGCAGGAGTGCTTTTTTTAGATATTTTAAAACGTAAAAATGGATTGTGTGATACATCAATTTAAAGGTCTAATCACCCCAATCATTTTGGTGCAAACAAATTTTAATTATCTTTAACCGTATTTACAGGGTGGGTCAAAACGTTTTAAAAAAGGACTTTGAAGTTAAGTACTGTATTACCCTAACTACTGAACAGAACAGCGCCAAATTTCTTTCGAAGCTTATTCTTGAGCTACTCTTAAAGATAACTTGTAGTAAGGGCATTTTCCATGTTACCTATGTTCTAATTTTAAAAAATCAAATTGAAAACTTAAAAATTCTTAAATAGCAAGGTATAACAAATTTCATACCACGTGAAAGGTCCTTTTTTAACAAACATTTTACGTATTTAAGTTTTTTTTCTAGTAGAAGGCTATTAATGTCTTCGGTCCAGTCCGTACTCTTGTACAGTGGTGCGGAGGTGTGGGCAGATGCTCTCAATAAGGAGGTGTACAGGATGCGGCATCTGCCTACCGAACAGTGTCCGAGCCCGCCATCCTGGTGGTTGCTGGAGTCATCCCCGTCAAACTTTTAGCAGCGGAGAGAAAGGCAATTTACCAGAGCCGTGGGGAGGACCAGGCACGAACAGAGAAACGCTCCGGCATCTACCAGCTGTGGCAGGAGAGCTGGGAATAGGAGACACGGGGACGCTTGACCAGGCGACTGATACGGCAAGTCCAACCTTGGGTTAGTCGGCAGTGCGGAGAGGTGAATTTCTACATCACCCAATTCCTGACGGGTCACGGCTTTTTTCGGTCTTACCTGTTCAGGATGGGCAAAGCCGTGTCACCCGATCGCATATACTGTCCAGGCACTCCCGATGAAGTGGAACATACGTTTTTCCACTGCCAGCATTGGGAAAGGCCCCGTCTGGAGGCTCAACAGTT